TATATTGCATGAGAAGCAAAGCTAAGACCACAATCATTTTGACCTGATTTCATTAACATAAATATAACACATTTGTTACAGATTTAAAGATAAAGCCACTCGAGCTGTCTTATAACTCCTTGTAAATGAAATTTCTGCCGATTTTGTCTATACGTAATAGACAAGTATCCATGTATTCGAGTATGTCAGAAAAGAATACTTACCGAACCAGTCCATATTAAGGCAAAATTAAGTAGAAAATATGCAGATCCAAACATCGTCTTGACTGCCAGGGGCGTTAAGATAAATACATTGGATAGTAAACAGGACAAGGCGTTCACCCAAATTAAATACCATATTCTAGGTAGAAACTGAACTTGATAAATTGTAAACAACAAGATGATACATGGAATATACGTCCATAGAAATGTTATCTGAAAATAATAATAATAATTTTAAATTAACATAATATATTAAAGGGACTGATGCACCATTCTTTTTTGATCAATCATACTTTATTCTGAGAAACGGGAATTTTTTTAGGCGTGCCAACCTGTGATAGCGTAATCGACAAGAATGAAAGCTGCAAATACAATTTGATCAAGTCTTACTTTAATTTATCTGCTGATAGTCCAAGAAGTAATCGAAATACTGTAGCAGTAAAGGCCACACTGGAACCCACGGCAGGTAGGAACTGGTCATCTTTGATAAATGTCTGACCAAAACTCTGGAATACAGAAAATTGAATGCATAAAACGCAGACTACTCGTCTATACCAATACAGTAAGACCAAATATTGAATATAATTAGTTCCGTTTAGTAGTTAATGCGTGAATTCAACTTTATTCCATTGGCGCAATTGTGTACATAGGGCGGTTGGGTGGTTGGGACACTAAAAATTTAAACTCCACCAAGGTATACCTTGTAAACTGCTTGAATAAAGATAAATGCTGCCACTCCAAAACACACAATGAACCACAGAATATAAGCTCTAAAATCCTTCAGAGTCTCCTTCGTGGTCACGTCTACTGATTCAACTGATCTACAAATAGAGCAAGCATATAACAACGTATTACTTTTTTTTAGTTATTTTTTGACGAAATTCATCGTATATCTTGACTCTAATAGATAGCTATTGAAATGCAGCTAGTTGATTTGATTGTAGGCAAGCGATTACACCCAATCAGGGCTTTGGCAGAAAATCTGTAAACAATAAACCATATTTTTTTACAGTCTTTCAGTCTAGGAGTCTGATTGGCTGTATTTGCTAAGGTACAATCCAATTAAATTGCTGCTTTCCGAGATACAATGAAGACGAAGTTGGTAGATTGATATTGTGAAGATGAGTTAAAGTAAATGAAATCATTGTCGGCTAATGGTTTATAAATCTTAAATAACTTACTCTGTTGGACTTTCCTTCAGTTCGTCCTGTAGAATGTAAAAACCAACAGGCCTTTATAATTGCATCTTCCCATGAACAAGCTTACATTATAAATAATATGGAGAATTTGGGCGGACTCTCCAAAAAATTGCAGATTAGAGATCAAGACGCAAAGTGGCTTAAGGTGACACATCGAGATGTGAGCATCGTTTTTAGCAATCTAGCATTCTCAAGAAACAGGTACCAATGAACAAGCTATCGAGTGGTATTCGCTACTATTAGTTACGGGTGGTATTATTTTCATTAAACCACGAATGCTTTCTGAACTCTCCAAAAGCAAATGGTTCTCATATGGTGTTCTGGAAATGACGTCACGCAACTAATTCAATGATATATTTTTAAATTTGACGTACATAATTATCATTTGAAGTTGACTCGGGGTTGAAAATGAGTAAAATGCCAAGTATTTGAATACAACTAGATACGATTCCTATATATATATATGTTGATGGAACTTTGTCTAAAATTTCTGTTTGATTAAAAATCCTGGAATGAAAGATATGTCAAAGCGGAGTAAAAAACGAATTAAAGTGAAAGATTTTACCCGCAATTACCTGTATTTTTCGAAAACATTTCACGTGCCTCAATGATTCATGATTCAAAACGGACACACAAAAGTAGCTAACAATATTGTGTGCACGTTGTCACTTTTTAAAAGGATCCCTTTTGTTTCAAGATAAATACATTTGTTCCAAATATTTTGCTTTTTTGAGTCTATTACTTGCAGATAATTCAAGATACCTGGATTGGTTTAATTCAACATTTGGTGAAAAAATTTTTCTGTGGTTGGTTTTAGTAAGTAGTTGTAAGTCACTTGAAAACGTCTGGAGCTATAAATAATCCAAATACCAATGACCAGCTTATAGCGCCCACTTTTAGCTTGTGCCTTTCAGAATCAAGATCCGGCGCTCAGTTTGTTTAATACAATCCTTATATTCAGATACCTTTATATTACTATTAGTGATCAGCTATATGCAGAACTAACACCTCTATCAGGTGTTGAAGCAAATATTTAAGGGACTATATCCCTTTAAATTTACCTTGGTAGTAATACATATTGTCAGCGGATAAATTGACCCACAGGCCAAACCCAACAAGCTGCCAAAACTAAGAACCACTAACCACAAACTGTAAGACACTGTATAATACGTAAGAAATATACCAGATCTGTTAGAAAAAAAGAAAGAAAGAAGGAAACAACCATTTATCACAAGTATGACTTCTCAGGTTCACGAGGATCCGTTCTATCAGGTAGTGGTACTAGCTAGTACTAGTTACTACTTGACCAAACATCCTGGCAATGATCTTTCCCGAATTATCGTCGACTGGACTACTGAGGAAAGATAACTTATTCTTCATGATAACAAGATATTCACACACCTATCTGTTAAAAGCAAAGAGCGTATAAGGGACGAGAAACAGGTTCTTATTGCTATTTCCAGTATGATGCTAAGTGCTGACCTTACTAGTATGCGCAGTTTATTCCTCAACAATATTCTGTGTATTTGGGACTATTGTGCATTTGGACTTTTTCAAAAAACAAGTGTTATTTTAAATCGTATCTCTATTAGCCTGCTTAAGGGGGTCCTCACACCACAGCGATCACCAGTTCCGTATCGATGCAAATAATAATAGCGGTCACAAGTTTCGAGCGCAACCCTCGTGCATTCGTGCTGTAAGTTGCGTTCTGAACTCATGACTTAAACGAAATAAACGAAATAAAAAGATATAGACGAAATAGACGAACAAATTAATTCGTTTAAACGAAATAATAATTCGTTTAAACGAATTAAAAAGAAATAAACGAAATAAAAAGATATAAACGAAATAGACGAACAAATTAATTCGTTTAAACGAAATAATAATTCGTTTAAACGAATTAATAATTCGTTTAAACGAAATAATAATTCATTTCGTATGAAATAATTAATTCGTTTAAACGAAAGAATATATTATAACTATTTCGTTTAAACGAAATAATAATAAAAAGTGTTGAAAATTGCGCTTAAGGGGCTCCGTACAAACACAATAATATTTCGTTTAAACGAAATATGTGATATTATTTCGTTTAAACGAAATAATAATAAAAAGTGTTGAAAATTGCGCTTAAGGGGCTCCGTACAAGCACAATGTCTCGACATTGTTTAATATTTTGATTATAATCATTGTTTATCTATTTCAAAAAACATCAAACAATCAATTCAAAAGAATACAAAGTTCATCTGTTGAAAAGGTAGTAACCGATATTCTGAAAGAGTTGAGTCTGACTTACTTACGAAAATATTTACTGAAATTATTTCATATGCCTACATTTTTTCCGAGTGTGGAGAAGAGGTTGTAGCTATAGACCCGTGTCTGGGTATAGCCAAGTTTGTTACAAAATAATCGAGAATGAATAAAACAAGAATGAATTATTTATCTCTGACGAAAAATATAAAATATATAACTCATTTTGTGTCTATTTGCTGATTTTTTTCAGACAAAGTTGATTTTAAATTCTGAAAAGATTATTCAAAACGATGAAAAGCTTAGGTGAAAATTTTTTATTATTTATAATAAGTGGATGATTGCGACGTAAAAGAAAAACAAAGCCAACAGTGAAACGAACGAGCTAATCAGAAGCCCAAAGATGTTCTATGATTTATTTTGAATATCCACAAAAAAAAAAACCCAACGAAACCCCACTAATTACCAGCATCTTTCATGATAATTTTAACTACAGGTTTGTTAGTTCTGTCCGTGATTACCCTTGGAACAATGTGTTAATTAACGGTGGTCCAGTATGCTGCAGGCAGGGACGTATCTAGAAAGTGCCTTTGGAGGGGGCCAAAAATGAGATGTCTCTCCCAAGCGATGTCCAAGGGCCAAAGCCCTTTGAAGTCAGGCCTCTTGCAACCAGTCTCTGATAGTCTCCCTCAGGCCAAACAAAATGAAACATTTATTTACTTTCACTTTTATAATCATGAAGATGTATTCTCTGCTTTCCTGAATGAGATTTTCCTGATTCCCATCATGACTAGTGCCCTCTTATTCGCAAAAGGGGAGCCAATGAAATCCTCGCTACGCCACTACCAATATGCCACAAATTGTACAGGTTGTAAGATCCTACAATGGGTCAGATTAGTCACTGTCCTTACAAAATTGTCCCCTATTGCACACTGCCTGTTTCAATTCACTCAATCAGAAACAGAACAGTTACCATCCTCTTTCACATTGTCTTTGTCGTTCATTTGGGGTTTTAACTCTATAAGAGAGTCCTTTACATTTTTATTACATTTTGGAAATAAAGGTAACTTTAACAGCATAACCAACACAGTACCTGGAAAATAGATTAAAAAAGAATTAATCAAAAGGGTTAATCTGCCAGTTTTTTAATCTCCTCATTGGGCTAAAAACTTCTTTGTTACCAGTAACCCCCGTTTCAAAAACTAAATTTACGTTGCTCCGTGGACTTAAGTCCAATTTAGGAATATCAACCCCCAATTTCTAAAGCTTCCTTGATGAAGATTGTGTATCGGTCTTCAGTATGCATTTCCCTGACTGCTCGCCCAATACAAATTTCACTGTAGCTTTTCAGTAGGGAATGGGCATCAAAAGTGTCATTCTGTCATTGATCAGACCAGATTAATTCATAAACAGATTAGAAGTATAGATATACGTACTAAGAGAGACAACTCCACCAAATACGAAGAATAATGTTTGCCAACCTATAGTTACTAAATATTTTACTGTTAGTGGTAATGCGAATCCACCAAGTGCCTGATGGAAGAAGGCCCGATTGTTATTTTACGTCCGCATGAAATTATACCCTCTTCTTAGAATACACATAGAATTTAACCTTCCAAACTTGACCAATATGAGTATAATATATAATCCTTTACCGACATTTAGGTAGAGATCACATTAAATAACGGAACACAATTTTATGGTATACTACTCCTTAGTTTTATTACACACTACGTTTCAACAATCTACATTGTCATCTTCAGGTGAAGATGACAATGTAGATTGTTGAATCTTCAGGTGAAGTTGACACTGTAGATTGTTGAAACGTCGTGTGTAATAAAACTAAACTTAGTATACCATAAAATTGAGTTCCGTTATTTAAGAGTATAATATATTCATCAGTGGACTTAACAGGTCTTATAATTATACAACAGAATCTCTGTTTAATCCAATAACTCGACAAAACAACAAAAACAGTAGTTTTATGGATTTATTGGATTACAAAGGGACTTTGTTGTTCCAAATTAGAATAGCCTACTCCAAGCCAAGTTGATAAAAACCTTAATTTTATGTCCATTCTAAGAGGTGGTATTCCTTAAATATTAATTAGTAGCATTAAATTATTTAGTATAACAATTATGTAGTATGATTTATAACCTAGGAGATATGGAAATAATGATACAAGGAACTTGATACACTCGATTTCCAAATCATACTAACCAAATCTGCCCGATTTCTTCAAAACTATTAACATATAATCTAGACCCAAATCTACCCTAAAAATTGCGAATCTGTCCCTTTAATGTAAATGTTGTACAAAGAAAAGGAAAAAAAATACTTACAGCACCATTCCAAAATACAGCATAGTTCATCATAAAATGTTTTGAGCCAAACAACTGCCTGACAGAAATGGGTAATAAGATAAATACATTGGATAGTAAACAGGACAAGGCGTTCACCCAAATTAAATACCATATTCTAGGTAGAAACTGAACTTGATAAATTGTAAACAACAAGATGATACAAGGAATATACGTCCATAGAAATGTCATCTGAAACGACAACGTGCAAACAGTAGGTGAAAAGTCGAACAATAAATACTAAACATATTCCGCAAAAAAACAAAGAAAAAGATCGGTAGCGGCCCATTTATCACTGTCTAGAAGAGTTAGCATTCCTTACATAGCTACTTAACATACACAATAAACATGACAAATATAGGAACGTACAACACAAATTAAACAGCGACAGATGAATTTTAAAAGTTCAAGGGAAATAACCATAAAAACATATTCAATAGAGAGACTGATCACAAATGTTATAATATCTGGGAGAAAATGTTGTTGACACCTGCATCTATGAGGTAGCATTTCTTAATGAAAAGTGGCACCAGGTGACCAGAAGAGTACGCAAACCCTGCCTGGAACCACACCTGTCATTGCTGCTAAATGCTACATATAAAATAGATGCAAAAAAACCTAGAGTGATGTAAAATCTAAACCCTTTATTTTCAAAATAACATCCCCCCCCCTTTTTTTTTTACAATGAATTGCCTTTATATCGGAATTGATAAGTGAACCCGTATAAATAAGAGCACCAAAGCATACCTTAATACCACATTTATCAGCCGATATACCAACAGCCAGCCTAAAAAATATATTCGAAAAGGCAAGAGTTGAGCCCACGGTAGCAAGAAACTGGTCATCATCAATGAAGTTTTGACCAAAATTCTGAAAAACAATGGATAAGTTGCACATGAGTTACGTCAGATGAAAGAAACAAACGTTTACATCGTACATTGATGAAATTTTTATTCTGGTGGATATCTGTTACTATTTAACCACTATCGCAGATAATATTATACTTAGAAAGGACATCAAATTTAAAGCCTCAAACGTGGTCAATAAGAGTAAATATTCATCAGTTGGACTTACCAGGTGCTATGACTAAAGAATATAATCTATATATAAGACGATATATCCATTAAACTAAGTAACCATTGCAAAACACTTCGAAGCGTGTTTCAAAATTACTTAGGTTAAAGGAAAATTACTCAGTACTTAATTGAATTGATTTATTAGATTATAAAGGGATTCTGATTTATAGTTTTGGCACCAGGTAATAGAGTCTAACCTTATATACCGACTGGATTAAGACAGGAGTTGTCACACCAAAACAAACTATAAACCACAGAGTATAACTTCTAACATCTTTCAGTATCTCCTTTGTGGTCACGTCTACTGGTTCAACCGATCTGGAGATAGAAAGGGCAACAACGTATTACTATAGTGTTCATTTACATCCAGCCCAGACTGGTATATGTTGCCCGGTATTCAATTGTAGGCACCGGTTTGCTTGAAGAAGATCAATTTTACAATACAGTTTCCTTATAAAAGGAATAATTATTGCCATGGTAGGCTTAAGACCGCGACGTGTGAAGTTGATTACAAAACACGCTATGGCCGCTTAAGATATGACTTACTGTGAAGATGATTGATTTTCGTTCAGTACTTCCTGAAATGAATTACCATAAGTAAGAGGATATAATAACAATATAGTACTTTTCTTTATACATGGGAGATAACACTAAGGGCCATATGCAGCGCTCGTGCTTTACCTAAACTTTGACTAAAGTTACACTTTAGACAAGTCGAACTTTAGGTATGCACCGGTCGATCTTTACGAAAGTCTTTGACTATCAAATGTAGAAAATGAAAGCCTTAATCCTAACTTTGTAAAGTTCGACTTTAGTGAAGGTAAGAGCGATGCATGCAGCCCTTGGGATAACGTTCGAGTTCAGAAATTAAATATTGAAGTACCAAGCTTCCATATTAGTAAGGGAAAAACCACCCTAAGAGAACAGCACATCGCTTCTTATAATGATTCCATGTACAAACGGTAGACAATTTTCAATTCAAATTTTCGAATTTAACTCACATAATTTGTATGAGTTGTGGAATCTGGTTTGGTGATTAGCAAACTCCCAATCAACTGAATAGATGCCAATATAATTCCTAGATATATATACGTTGATGGAACTCTGTCTATTATTTCTGTTTGGTTAAAAATTCTGAAATGAGAAGTACAATATTGTAATACACGATCTGATTCCATTCTGGCTCCAGACTTCTGTCACTGTTGATGGGGCGCCTTCACAATATCAAGCTATTACAGCCTTCGCCTTTTACCTTGAGTCCTATGGCCGCCTCCCTCTGTGTCTCCAACACTTACAAAAAATTTAGAAACCTCTTTTCAATCCCTTTAATGCTACTATTTTTTACTACATGCTGATTGCGACCTAGATATGTTAGAAACTACATTGCAAATTGTTGAAAAAAAAAAACTGAGACGCTAATTTCGTTTAATTTGTTTCCGATTTGATAAGGGAGTCCTGATGGGGTCAACTAAGTTCGTGATATAATTCTATTAGATTGATGAAATTGTATATACCTATATTTGTTTAGTTCCATATTTGGTGACAGGTTCTTGGGATTTATAATCAGAGTAATCAGTGCATTAAGAAATATACCTCCTGAACTAAAACCCGTTAGAATTATTGATGTTGCTGTGCCTACCCTCTCTGAAAATGTCTGAAAGGGAATGAATGGAGATTAACGTCCTACTGTTAGCTCATTGCAACGGTTAATGTCGCGCAGTTTTTTTAGCCAAGCTGATCAGTAATAGTGTTCACAGTTCACCGTCTGAGTCATCAAATCCACGCGTATCCGTTTGAAAGTTAAGATGAAGACTCAATATAGACAAAGACAATAAAATTTCTAGTTTGAAGTATATTTGAAGGGATTATGTTCTAGAAGACTATTTACATCTTCAAAACCTCCGAAAAAGGCACCCCTCGGGTCAGAAGAAATGCACAGTTTATTCTCATTTCTTTGCCAAAATTGCGTTTGATGTATTCGACGCCTTCCTAGATTAGAGAATATTCCAAGGGGAGGTCCCCACATGACAAGTACACCTAAAATCCGAGAGGGGACTGAGGGTGCTGGAAAAGTTGAAACCGTACCTGGGTAGCCACATACACAGACAATGCATAACTCATCCCCGAAGCTGCCCCAGATATACCACCAAAAGTCAGAGCTATCGACCATATACTGTAGGACACTGTGTAATATGTTAGTAAAAACCCCCACCTATACATACATTAAAAAAATATAAAGACGAACTTCATAAAACAAAGATAACTTTCCCATTGACATGGATATAAAAACCAAAACAAGACTTTGATCAATACAACAAAATATATTGTTCCGTAGCTCTACTAGATAAGTGGGGTCACGTTGAAATACTCATCATAATAAACAGCCTCTTTAAGGACGACAAACTTGATATATTTTTATACTTACAGAAAAATACCACATGGTATTAAAAAGCAACACTTTATGTGAAGTCTCTTGTGTAAACAAGCACCAAGAAATGTCCCAACGCCATGCAGCATTGCTACTGGTGCTAGAATCCAATTTTCATCTCCAAGATTCGATTCATCATACAAGCCACGACTATGGAGATATGATATTGTATAGGTTATCAAATTACCTAGAAATATAGAGATATGATATTTGTCTAGGTTATCAAATCACCTAGAAATATAGAGATATGATATTTGTCTAGATTATCAAATTACCTAGAAATATAGAGATATGATATTGTATAGGTTATCAAATTACCTAGAATTATAGAGATATGATATTGTATAGGTTATCAAATTACCTAGAAATATAGAGATATGATATGTGTCTAGGTTATCAAATTACCTAGAAAATAGAGATATGATATTGTATTGGTTATCAAATTACCTAGAATTATAGAGATATGATATTGTATAGGTTATCAAATTACCTAGAAATATAGAGATATGATATTGTATAGGTTATCAAATTACCTAAAATTATAGAGATATGATATTTGTCTAGGTTATCAAATTACCTAGAAATATAGAGATATGATATTTGTCTATGTTATCAAATCACCTAGAAATATAGAGATATGATATGTGTCTAGGTTATCAAATTACCTAGAAATATAGAGATATGATATTGTATTGGTTATCAAATTACCTAGAAATATAGATATATGATATTTGTCTAGGTTATCAAATTACCTAGAAATATAGAGCTATGATATTTTATAGGTTATCAAATTACCTAGAATTATAGAGATATGATATTGTATAGGTTATCAAATTACCTAGAATTATAGAGATATGATATTTGTCTAGGTTATCAAATTATCTAGAAATATAGAGATATGATATTTGTCTATGTTATCAAATTACCTAGAAATATAGAGATATGATATGTGTCTAGGTTATCAAATTACCTAGAAATATAGAGATATGATATTGTATTGGTTATCAAATTACCTAGAAATATAGAGATATGATATTTGTCTAGGTTATCAAATTACCTAGAAATATAGAGATATGATATTTTATAGGTTATCAAATTACCTAGAATTATAGAGATATGATATTGTATAGGTTATCAAATTACCTAGAAATATAGAGATATGATATTGTATTGGTTATCAAATTACCTAGAATTATAGAGATATGATATTTGTCTAGGTTATCAAATTACCTAGAAATATTGAGATATGATATTTGTCTATGTTATCAAATCACCTAGAAATATAGAGATATGATATGTGTCTAGGTTATCAAATTACCTAGAAATATAGAGATATGATATTTGTCTAGGTTATCAAATTACCTAGAAATATAGAGATATGATATTTGTATAGGTTATCAAATTACCTAGAATTATAGAGATATGATATTGTATAGGTTATCAAATTACCTAGAATTATAGAGATATGATATTGTATAGGTTATCAAATTACCTAGAAATATAGAGATATGATATTTGTCTAGGTTATCAAATTACCTAGAAATATAGAGATATGATATGTGTCTAGGTTATCAAATTACCTAGAAATATAGAGATATGATATTGTATTGGTTATCAAATTACCTAGAAATATAGAGATATGATATTTGTCTAGGTTATCAAATTACCTAGAAATATAGAGATATGATATTTTATAGGTTATCAAATTACCTAGAATTATAGAGATATGATATTGTATTGGTTATCAAATTACCTAGAAATATAGAGATACGATATTTGTCTAGGTTATCAAATTACCTAGAAATATAGAGATATGCTATTGTGTAGGTTATCAAATTACCTAGAATTATAGAGATATGATATTTGTCTAGGTTATCAAATTACCTAGAAATATAGAGATATGATATTGTATTGGTTATCAAATTACCTAGAAATATAGATATATGATATTTGTCTAGGTTATCAAATTACCTAGAAATATAGAGCTATGATATTTTATAGGTTATCAAATTACCTAGAATTATAGAGATATGATATTGTATAGGTTATCAAATTACCTAGAATTATAGAGATATGATATTTGTCTAGGTTATCAAATTATCTAGAAATATAGAGATATGATATTTGTCTATGTTATCAAATCACCTAGAAATATAGAGATATGATATGTGTCTAGGTTATCAAATTACCTAGAAATATAGAGATATGATATTGTATTGGTTATCAAATTACCTAGAAATATAGAGATATGATATTTGTCTAGGTTATCAAATCACCTAGAAATATAGAGATATGATATGTGTCTAGGTTATCAAATTACCTAGAAATATAGAGATATGATATTGTATTGGTTATCAAATTACCTAGAAATATAGAGATATGATATTTGTCTAGGTTATCAAATTACCTAGAAATATAGAGATATGATATTTTATAGGTTATCAAATTACCTAGAATTATAGAGATATGATATTGTATTGGTTATCAAATTACCTAGAAATATAGAGATACGATATTTGTCTAGGTTATCAAATTACCTAGAAATATAGAGATATGCTATTGTGTAGGTTATCAAATTACCTAGAATTATAGAGATATGATATTTGTCTAGGTTATCAAATTACCTAGAAATATAGAGATATGATATTGTATTGGTTATCAAATTACCTAGAAATATAGAGATATGATATTTGTCTAGGTTATCAAATTACCTAGAATTATAGAGCTATGATATTTTATGGGTTATCAAATTACCTAGAATTATAGAGATATGATATTGTATAGGTTATCAAATTACCTAGAAATATAGAGATATGATATTTGTCTAGGTTATCAAATTATCTAGAAATATAGAGATATGATATTTGTCTAGGTTATCAAATCACCTAGAAATATAGAGATATGATATGTGTCTAGGTTATCAAATTACCTAGAAATATAGAGATATGATATTGTATTGGTTATCAAATTACCTAGAAATATAGAGATATGATATTGTGTATGTTATCAAATTACCTAGAAATATAGAGATATGATATTGTATAGGTAATCAAATTACCTAGAAATATAGAGATATGATATTTGTCTAGGTTATCAAATTACCTAGAAATATAGAGATATATTGTATAGTTTATCTAATTACATCTAGGGTGAACATTTCATATACTGTAAATCCTATTTTAGATGCTGTTAATCGACTGATAAATAACGATACCTACATAGGGTCATGGGGAATATAACGTAGAGTCATGGAGAATATCGTTCTGTTTTTTACTAGAAATATAAACTATATTACTCGAAAATAAGATTGATAATTATAAGAAATAAAACTAATTAAAAATGTAACTACAAATAACTACAAAATAATAAAGAAACGGGATACTTTTTAAAAATTCTGTTATAACACTTCCCAAAATAATATGTCACATATAAAGCCATCATCATCGAGTCATCAAATGTCCTATTATTTGCGAGTAGCTATTTGTGAAAATAAGCAAGGGTTTCAGATGTTTATACTTACCGAAAAAATACGGTACACATATAGTCATCATGACTGCAGCACAGCCAATAAGATTACAATACCTCTTAACTTCCACCATGTCCTTTGGAAACATATTAAACTTGCTATGAAATTAATTCAAATACGTTGATACTTTCTATAAATTAATATACAGTATAACAAATGAATATATTGATAATTATAGATAAATTAATATACAGTATAACATATGAATATATTGATAATTATAGATAAATTAATTTGATACTGTATGTTTAAATTATTTTAATAAAATGAAACGCCTGTGTTATCAAGCGAAGTTATTTCTTTTTAAACGAAACTGCTGTTACATTCAATGATCGCGATAATTTTTTTTAGTACACAGCCACAATAAAATATATCAAAAAATTAAAATAAATTCCTGATATATTGTTATAATGTAAAAGAAGGTTAATACAACTGATTGTATATGAATCGAGTCTCCTTCACCTTCCTAATAATAATAATAATAATAATATTAATAATGTTAATAATAACTTAATTTTGACAGCCTATTTAGACATAGTATAATTTTCAATAGGTTCCACTAGACTATAAATTATATACAAGTTTACAGAAAGAATAAAATTACGGAAAATCACACAAAAGATATAAACATTTACTGTGTAACATGGATGAGGTAGTATAGACATTTTAATATGTAAACATTTTTTTCTAAGATTATAAGATGGTCCATATGAAAAGTTATCCCAACAACTTGAGTTGCCCCCCTTTAAATAACCTTGATCTTAGTGGTAAGGCGATTGTTATTTCTTGAGCAATATACCCACGTGATAGGTTGGAAAGTTCAAAGAATTCATCTTTGGTTATTGATGAATAAGATCAATAAACATCCATAATGAGCTTTAGGTTAACATACTTTATTTGTTGAGGGGCAGACTGCTTCGATTTTTCAAGTTGATAATTCCTTAATAAATACTCACATTTAATCTAAATTCAATTCTCAGTCCTGATCTCAAAAAAATAAAAGAAAATAGACAGCAAAAATCCTGTAAGTGGTAATATTTTTTTTCACGATGTTTGTTTAAAGTTTCTTATATTGATATAAGAATCTTGATTATCAGCAAGATCGTTCAGACATTTATATACTGAAAGCAAAATAAACGTTATTTATAAAATAATGATAAAACTTAACAGACACTAATGGTTACTTGTTCAGTGGTCAATGAATTCAATATACGTTCTACTGCTTCTTTTGTTGCTTGATATGACATTTAAATAAGACTTGCTCTGATGTATATACTTGCACATATAAGCGTTTAAAAATAGCATCTTATACGTGAAGTTTCGTATGCCTTTCAGTATACTAAAATCTAAGAATACAGATTATAACTGAATACCTATGAAAAGAATGTGTAAATATGAATGCGATCAGCAAGAATTACCATGTCTATTTGTTAGAAACGAATCCAACAAAGAAATCTGAAAGAAATTTGCCCTCGTCATGCTTCTTAACCGAGCCCCCGTGTGCTATAGGCTGTACATGTTTAACATCCCTCGATAATTGGAAATCGATCAAGTGCAGGCTAATGTCGCTGTCCTGGCAAAATTTCCCTCATTGCACCCTGCATGGCGTTGCCCGTCTTCAGTAGCCCACATGGTGCAGAAAAGTGGACGTAAAACTTATTTTATTTCATTTCACTTCGTCAAGTTTCTTGATCGATTTATTTCGAAAGTATCCAGGCGCATCAAAAAATCTGCGATGCTCGAAAAAAACTTCACCAACATGCCATTTGTTTTGCCCTTTATATTTCAAAGAAACAATGCTGCGTGCACTTCACATTTAACCATCGGATTCACTTTGGTCAAAACAATATTATGTGGAAGCCTGAAAACACACTGAAGAATGGAGCTGACATTCCTTTTATTTAATTTACCAGGGTCAGGTCTGTGTTTGTGAAAACAAAGCCAGATCTAATATAAACTACTCTAATATATCTTTCTTTCTCACAACAATACAATCAAATGATAGTCAGATCCATTGAGTGGATTATTTAACGTGATAATTGTATTTGTGGAGCTAGTTTATGATGAAATAATAGCTCTAAACAAATCAAGTGTTATTAATATGTCTACATGCCTTACACTTGGCTTTCTGCTTGGACAGCTACCAGATTCCAAATGGCCCACAATTCAATGAAATTACTATCACTATTAATTTATAACTTAATTTTGAAATAAAGAGTGGCGTTGATATTTATAGTTTCCTTACATTTAGAAAACAATGTCCAGACAAATTTTACTTCATTGCACATTGCATGGTAATGCACGTCTCGGCTTCCAGATTCCAAATGGCTCACAATGAAATTACTGATAATTTATTACTCAATACTGTTGCGTTAGTATTTATTTATTCTAAGGATATCTTGGGAGGATATTAAAGTTTTTGAATGACTTGTTCTATGTTTCTGGGCATTACCTACGCCGATTAAATGATAACACCTCTGAATTTTTCAACCTGGTTTCCCCCGTCCGATCGTTCGGATTGGACTATAAACTGAGGCCCAGTGTGCTACAGGATCTGCACGTTAATAATCCTTTGACAGTTGGAAATCGAAGAGAGTAGGCTATTGCCAATATCATGACCAATTTTCCCCATTGCACACTGCATCTTGTAGCCCGTCTTCAATAGCCCATAAGGTTCTGAAAAGTAGAACGTAAAACTATTCATTTCATTTCATTTTTTATGCCGATTATTATTTAATTAATGCTATAATTTGACGGTCATGATGATAACAATAAACAATTTAATAAACAGAGATCGGAGACGTGCTGGACCTACTGATTGTCATATTATCGCTTGGGTTTTCTTATAAATAAGTCTCAATGATGCACGTTTTGTTCCAGGCTAAGAATACATTTTCCACAAAAAACGTCTGAAGATAATGATGAAGATTTCTATAGCACAGATTAAAATGTATTTAAGGCTATAGAACGTAATTATTGAGCGAATAGAATTGTAACCGGTACGTGATCGCGGATAAGAGAAATCCAAATCTCAAATTGGGTGTTTTTTTGTGCTCGTGGTTGATTCAATTTCATCTGTAATGGTACACTCACTGTGGCGTTATAAAGGTTAATGGATAACTCCACGGAATTATACAAACTATTCTAACCTCTGAATCTATAAATTATTTTTGTCTACAACTGAAACAACCAAAACTGCAAAAGCTTTCGAGCATTTCAGAAATAACTGCAGAATTTAGGCTGACAACAAATTTTTTGGATTGATAATGGATTTAGCATTTTAAATTTTGAAGGTTCACGCAAGCGACTCCAATTTATAAATATGTAACAGAATACAATAAAATGGTATATTTACTCTTGAGTTTTATTTTACACAACGTTTCAACAATTTACATTGTCATCATCAATAGAAATATACCGTAAAATTTGGTTCCGTTATTTAATGTGATCTTTACCTTTGTATTATGTCGCTGAAGGATTTATTAGTTCATAAATAAGTAAGAAATCAACGTTTAGTCTGTAGATTTATAAGGATATCGGATTATCTATATTGGATCAGCCGTCGCTTCTGTGTAATATGACTGTGTTTAACTAGTGATATAGAACTGGGGCAGTGTGGCAGAGTAAATTGTATCTTTATTCCTTTTCTATACATAATAGAATACAGCAACTTGAATGAATAGTGTTTACTGACGTTGATTTAATTTCAAGCCCCTTATCGTCATCGGTCTCCACCTCAAATTGCTTGTCTAAATCTCCAGTCAGGAGCGTTCAGTACTTGATGGTCATATAAGTGAATGATTTATCGACACTGAGGCGACAATTCCACTCGACTTAACCAAATTTATGGCCAATAATCGTCTCTTGGGTGAATATTTGTTGAAGATAATCAAGTTTATTGCGGGTATATTACCTAATTAATATACAATTACCATGTAAATTTATGACACGTGCGTAGAATTCTCATCCATTCGGGGTCTTTCAGATAATATTTACATTTATCTTCAACTCTCCAGGCGATTCATTGCGCCTTAACATTCACCCGTCCTGTACTAACAGATCCTCGAGCAAGATACGTATGACCTCTCTTCGATTTATTATACAGATCTCGATGGTTTACAATGTTACATAGTTACTTTCCAGTGTCTGGAAGTTCAAAGCTTCAGGTCGGAAATTTTTAAACAAACATTTCCCGTTCCTAACAAGGCTACGGTCCTGATTTGTGTATATCTAACAATGTTGTTGTTGTTTTGAAACTTGACATATATTGAAACATCTGCTATTTCTCAGAGACATTGCCTACATTAGCTCACTGTCATTTCTTACAGAAGTCTTTAGATCTAGCTTTAAACCATTAATAGATACATACGTTATTTAATGGACTGATAAAGAAAACAAGCATATCAAATACAATGGACTGTAATGTATAGAAATAGATGAAAGCTATATGTTACGTTGCTGATAGCAGTAAACACTATCATCGTCATTCATTGATGGAATATAGGTAAGGGTTAACATTGGTGGTGGACAGTTGTGTTTATATGAATCATTAGGCAGAGGACCACATAATTGTTTAGTAGGCTCAGAACACAAGAACCGTCTTCATTAGCCCACATGGTGCAGAAAAGTATTACGTAAAACCCCATTCATTTCATTTCATTTCAGAACACAAGAAAACTAGAGGGGATATTGAAAGGAAAACACAGTCCTCTTAATCGATATGTTTTGATGGCAGTGGTATGCAAACTTATACTACACGGTGGCATTTATTTTACTAAAACGTAAAATTCCACTCATTGAAGAGGGTATATGAAGTTTATTTCAAATGTGTATAAAGGATACAGTATACGATTTATATACAATTTAATACAAATTTTGCACGGCTAGAGTCAAACAAAGATAGGGCGTTTTGCTGAACCCGTTACTTGATCTTGATTGAGGGATAGCTAAACCCAAAGTAGAGCAATATTACAGCCTTTTTTGGTTTCGCTTCTCCATAATTCATCATCGCTATCAGGACACGGGTTCTGCATGACACACTTTGATTGGTTAATCTCATTAGAACTGGACTTTGGTAGAAAACTTGTTAGATTAGACAAATATCAGAAAAAAAAAGAGAGCGAAATAATATTTCTAATTTTAATTAGATTTCACGTATATGTATTTAACGTTGGTGAGACAATAGCCGCATTTAGACTGTCAAAAATTATCCGTACAATTAAGCAACTTACTGCTCGTTCTAGTTTCAAGTAGGCTGAGTTCAGACCGAGTAAGATTAACTATGATTAAAGTCAGTGTAAATGCGGCTAATGGATAGTTGCTGATTGATTGGCTTGGAGAAAGTTGAAACTATACTTTACACTGAGCACTTAATACTGCTTGCTATCTATGCTAGTTAGCTTTACACAATTTAAAGCATTCCTGTGCATGATGGGGACGACATGAAATATCTGGACATGCATAATATATTTGTACATGAAATTTTTACATATCAAACGATTTTTTTTACATTACATATTCTTGAAAATCAACCTCATAGTGATTATACTGCGTTTAGGAATTTTGACTGATACTGTTCAATTACAAAGTTTGAATGTACACATTTATAAAATACAACTGGAATACGTACAGAGGCGAATGTGGAGGTTGGACAGTGGTGAGAAACAGAAAGCACTGGTATATTTTTATGCTTCCTAAAATACAGATGAGAGTATTTTTCAGGCATCTCCTTAGCCTCAAATTCGAAAATTTGGGCTCCTACGACTTAAGATGCACATAGTCTAGGTATGGTGTCCGGAACGTTGTACGGTGCGGAATAATCGATACAAACGAAAATAGAAGAAGTGAACACACGGGGTACGGGTCCGGACACGATTCATTTCTTCTATTTTCTACTGTATTGACAATCCCACACTGTACATCGCGCCGGACACTGTCCCTCGTCTATTTGCGTTTTTAAGATGCAATTAGTCGAGGTATGGTGTCGGATGCGATGTATGGTGCGGGATGATTCATACAGTAGAAAATAGAAGAACGGTGTTGACACGATTGGCTTCTTTTATATTCCACTGCATCGATAAATCGGTATCGTACACTACACCGGGAAACGTACACCGTCTATTGGCACCATTGTGTTGTCTCGTTTATCTGTACAAAAACCAGTTTCACCAACAGGTTTCAGGTCATTCTCTGACTATATAAAGTGTTTTGAAGTGGGGCGCAAAGCCGGACTTTACTGGTCAGGTGCATTTATCACCCATTGTATAGAAATTCCGTGTTTTATTAGGAAGGATGGCAAAGGATGGGACTGGACCAGCTTTGACAATTCTCTGGTCCCTATTTGATCTCACCTAATGATTGATAGAAACTACGTTATGCAATTGTTTTTCACAATGGTCTTACAGATTATTGCATACTAAAATACAACGCACACTTGCTGCAGATTATCATTCAATATTTTGACAAAAAACTAAATAACATTTTTAGAAACAGTTGCTAGGGTATCACGCGGTTGACATATTTAACAATTTGCAAATATCATACAAAACCATTCAAGCCAATCTCGGCCATTTCTGGGAGTTGTTGCCTTCCGTCCAAAGTTTTATTAAAGGTAAGACAGAAGAGCTGATATGGCCGAGATTGGCTTCCATACAAATTATACAACACTATTATTGCATACAGAGAATCAAAGCACTTAAAACACTTGCAAATGTAATGAAATGAGGGGCGGAGTGGAAAGTGTATGCACTGTTACATTTGTCTGTATCGCAAAAACAGTAAGATGCAGTAAAGTTCTGATCGTAATTCGTCCACATGTGACATCCGTTGGTTTCGTTAATCCCCGGAAGCGATCCTGGTAAATAACAGGATCTTAGAACACCGACCCAACCATCTGGAAATAGAAAATATAAAATTTGGTTAGGTGTACAGTCTCTTCAGTAACCGACAAGGTCAGATACGAGTATTAATGTTGGCCAAAGTTGAATGCACCTTACAAATGTACTAAAATTGCGATGTGGACATTGGTCTACAAAAAAGTGAGGAAGTTGACAAAGTTAATCGCAGATTCTGGCGAACATGGCCTGTCCTTCTTAAACAATGTCTTACTCTGCGATATATAACTATATGGAAAGGGTCGGGGGAAAGTTTCGAGTATATAATCCTTCTAAACTGAAACCAAACTTGTCGTGGACGGCATCCATGTTTATTCATACGTCCTGTCTATTGTACATGCATGCGCAATCAACGGACACACTAAGATGCAACAAAATCGGAAGTATACATGTACCGGTTTTACATAATAAATATGCCGTTTCCAGTAAAAAAAAGTGTGTGGTTATCGGGGTTTCAAGATTGTCGGCAACCGGTTAAACGCGGTTCCAATGATACACCATTCAAATATGTACAAAAATGACCTACATACTGGAAATTAGTATTACTGTCACAATCTAGTGATAGAGCAACTTATTTTCGTGCCAGAAATTAAAATAAATGGCTTCTGATTAAGCCGTCTTAGTATTTTGTTCTCGTAACTCGTCTTGACACAGAAAGTAACTTTATCCTGAGACAGTTAATTCACACAATATTGTAATGTATTCTTACTTATTCTTCGATCTTTTTACTACATGATTTTTACAATCTTAACACTGTTCTAACTTTAGTTAAGTGACTTATCTAAAAGGTATCATCCATCACTAAAGATATATTGCTGTCAGTGACATTCACATATTCAAGGATGAGTCGAGTATCTTGCAGGTCTTATGAAGATGGGCTTTAATCTTTCAAGGAGGCTCAAATATTTGACCTGACAGGTAAATCAAATCCTTAGTACAACGTCATGACAACTACTGTATGCCTGTATAGTGCTATTCTTGCAGAGTATGTATGTCATCAATCAGGGGTCTGTGGATTGCGTGTACTGTGTAAAGGTTACAGGAGTAGGTTGGGATTAGTTAGGGGATGCCCTTGTGTTAGTACTCACGAGTAGAAACATCACCTTCTAGGGGCATCTGTGTCTGTTTACCGCATTTAGCGTTAGGATCTATGCAATCTTCTGTTTTAAACTGGTACGTTTTAAAATCTAATCCACATGCTAGGTTGTTGGTGTTGGAACAAATATAACATCGTATACTGTCAACTGAAAATAGAAAGAAACGACATCTGAATATAAGGCATCAATGGTTTTCCTGTGCTTATTTCATAGTTCATATCAGAATAGGAAATATACCAGTTAGAACTTAGATATTCAACCTCCTGTCATTCACAAAAACGCATTTTCCAAACGCATTTAATAGCGTTTATTGTTCATAATGTTTATTTCCCTTCAATACCTATTGTATTGTTATGACACCAGGTAAGTCCACTCAAAAAATACTATAATTTGCCAATTTATATCTTATTTTCTATCTAAGAAGTAGAATTCCCTTCAAACAGATTCACACCGTGAAACTATAGCTCAAATCATTATTCGTTAAAGAAGACGTTAAGTTAACAATTCATTCTTTGCTACGAGAGGTGATTATGTTCAAGCACAATTGATAACGTTCATTTAGTAGACCACTAGATTTCTGGATTTCAACTCGACAATTTGATTATAAATCAGTACCAATCGTAACGAATTACTTTCTAAAAATAACCAAGAATTCTAGAAAATAAATCGGGGTCGAGTAATTGAAATAGGTTGCTTGGTCGTTATCTGTAGTTGACCATGTATAATAGGTCACTGATCGATTTTAATTACATCTAGAACTTATAGAATACATATATCTTGGTACCACAAGTACTTATTAATCCGATACACATTAGAAACTTAGATATATATTGCATGGAACACACCCAACACCCACATGGCAGTTTACTCTGAATCATTTTACTGTTTCACTTGTGATTCAAAATACTATATGAATTATTATATATCTATTTGTACCCATATTGGTCCAGTCGGGAGGTTTACAAGACAAAAACGTCTAGTGGTGTTTGCGGATGAGGCATTAAACCAAATGAGTACAAGTTAGAAACGCTGTCATAGTACAATGATGTGCCTCATTGCATACTGCATAATGTTATCTGCCTTCATTAGCTCAGCCAGGGGCATTAAGGAGGATGTTAAACTACATTTACTATCATTAAACTTCTTTGAGTCCATTTATGAAAGCACAGATAGCTAATTTCTCAACTAAATCTCCACGATGAAAGGCAATAACAACTCTTTTAACAGACATTCTTATAATCCATGGAAATGCATTAATTCTTTGATCTCAAACCCTCCTGACTTAGAAACCATGTTGCTGAATTGAAATACGTCTAATAAGATTCATACATAGGTTCTTAATGTCAATTGTTATTGAGTACAACTTCTGATTAGTCATTGTACACGTGCTTATTTTGTCATCTATCACATCTATACGACCTATGCAATATCAAATACGATATGGACTCATACTTGACAACTGAAATTTCAATATTTCATATTAATTTGTACACTATAATGATTAAACTTTAAACATAACGCATCGACAATTTATATCTCCATTCTAAGCATAGCACGGGGGATTCTGATATGTTTGTGGTCTTTCTGCTGTCTATAAGCTAAAAATCCAACCACCGATGACATCAAACATATATCGGTTAACGAACGAGTTTTTCCGGTCATTTTCTGCAAGCGTGATCATCTAAAATTGTCAGAAAACAAAACATTACATAGGTTTCAGTATTCTTATCTCAAATATTGACATCATGTAAGGTAGGACATAATAAAACGACGTCATGTAGTTCTGCCATTAATTGTCATTGTTAAAATAAGTCAGTGCTTTTCAAGGATTTCAATTATTAATGGTATTTGCTAATTTAAGGCTTTAACAGAAAATCCCAAATTATAATTTTCTGGCTCATTTTTTCATTGAAACGTAGCCAAACCCAACTGACATTGAAGAGCAACTCTTCAAAGAGCTATCTTTTTCAAGAAAATAACGTAACTATCGGAAAGGACCATTTAGATAGCTTCGTAAACAATTAGTTTTAGTGAAAATTCAAGAATCACAGAGGTCTGTCTGATAACTGGAATGGTGCAAATCGATGCCTGTACTGTCCTCGGTGCATTTAAGTTTAGATAACCTCTTTACAATCACTATAATCAAATATTGATGTAACTAGACTAAAGAAGTTAACACAAATCCAATGTACATCGTTAAGATCGAGTCCTAATAGTTCGTCTTTAGTAATGATTTGCTTTCAAGTCTGTCTAAATCAATCTTTGTTCAACAGTTTTCATAGAACTGGGTTTTTGGCAGTAAAACCACTTTAAGGTCTGAGTTTAGAAATAGCAACCACTTCTCTTAATCTATGATATCGGTGATGAAACCAACACAACACATACAGGTTCTTCAAACTGTTTCCACTCTTAGTCTTGTCTTATCTGAGTTATTCCACTTATTTCAAGCGTAATTAGTTCTCACTACCATATTTTACATTAACGTTTTGTTTACGGCATCAACAACATCAATTGTACCTTGTCAGAAGGCTAGAAATAGTTGCAAATACATCGTCAGTCATTGTTGAGGAAGACGGTATCAGCTACCAGAGGCATCAATCAACGGCATCAATGGCTACAAGTATATCGTCAGGTTTAGTTTTGAAGATGAAGTATACTGCCAATGGCATGAATTAATCCAATGCAATCTGTTTCTGCTACAAATACATGGTCAGTCATTGTTTGGAAGACGAAATCGTGTCAGCAGTACCTATCAACACCGTTTAAAAATAAAATTTCAATCTGTAACACCGTTTCTGGCTCCAAATACTTCGTCGGGTTTAGTTTTGAAGATGGCATCAGCTATTTGTGGCATCAATAGAATCCGGGCAGTAGAAGAAAAATAGACGTTGGAATGACATATATCTGCTATTCTATGCTAGGAATTTCTTAATTATACTGAAAGTTAAATATATCAATTTTAAAGAAGATACACAGTTTTTTTGTTGTTTACTTCTAACAAAAATCTCACATTAACTTCATAATTTTACATTTCGACTCTTACCCGTTTACCTAAGACCTGGTTTGGATCCATAGGTATAAGTTGTTCATTTCAATTCATTTTCCTCTGTCGATGATATATGTCCCTAGGACAGACATGGAAAAGTGTCCTCCATTTGCTCGTATTGATCAGTAAACCGAGATCTCCGTATACTACGGAATATTGGCTAAAATCACTTGCATGTTGAAAAAGACAGTCAGTGACAGCTTTGTCTTTGCAACAATCTCATTGCACAATATATGGGACAGCTCGCCTCTACTAAGGGGTATTGCAAAATATTCCACTTCATGAGCTCTCTTGGTTCTTAATACATGTATACATCAGTTGGAAGTTGAAATGACGAAATATATGAAGACCTAACACTCGACTTCTCTGTCATTGCCACTGATACATGTCGCAATGACTAACATTAAAAGGTATCCAATCGGTCGTGTAGAACAGTAAACCGAGCCCCCCTTGTAAAAATCAATTCAAAGTTGAAAAAGAGAATGTTCGTGGCAGCATGTTTGCACGATCTGTCTCAATGTACAGTATATGGGGGCTGCTCAATTTATGAACAAACATTTATTGCAAAACATTTCACTTCATGTTCTCTCGCGTTTCGAGAGAGATACTTCAAAGTTTGAATGATGAAATAAATGAAGACCTGACGCATGACTCCTACGACAGTGTCAGTGATACATGTCGTTATGATACCCATTTACTCATAACAGTAAACAGGTCCCCATGTGCAATGGATTATAGGCAAAAAAATCACCCGAAAGCTCAATATCGAAAAAGAGTAGTTTTGTTCACCCCCGCAAATTTCATCGTAGTGTACACTACATGGCGTTGAAGGTATACAATTCCACTTCGTTTCTAGAAATGAAATGAAATGAATGGAATATTACGTCCTACTTTTCTGCACCATGTGGGCTAATGAAGATGGGCAACGCCATGCAGGGTGCAATGAGGGAAATTTTGCCAGGACAGCTGCATTAGCTGCTCTTTTTCGATTTCCAACTGTCGAGGGATCTTTAACGTGCACAGCCTGTAGCACGCGGGACCTCGGTTTATTGTCCCATCCGAACTACTAGACGCTTTTTCCATGTCAGCCCCTCTGACCCACCTCACTGACAGATATTTCCGTCTCAAGTGGATAGAGTGTTGTTTCCATGTAAGAATTAAGCATAGTTTCTTATGTCGACTATATAGGCTAAAAAAGATAAGATACTGGCACCAATGCATCGTATTGCTCACAAGGCGTTGGGCGCATCAACTAGCTTAATTTGGAAGGTATAACATTCCACTTCATTTCTAGAGATATTGATGCACTTCAAAGAGGAAATGATGAAATAAATCACAACCAACGCACGCCTCTGCGTATCAAAATCACCACCATCAAACGGCTGGTATCAGTAGAGATAAAAATCACATTTGGCATCATGGTTACACATTACTTAAAAACCGTTACTTTCTTTTTTCTGAGATAATGTGACATAAAACATGCTTAAACAAACTCATTATTTTTCAAAAATAGGTTTTTCTTTTGAAAACGATAACCATGAATCCCCCGATGATATTTTCATATAATTTTAATGACCAGATTATCTAGGTTGTCAATTTCCTGTCAACTATCACAAAGTTTTAATATTTTATATTTGGAAGATAAGCAGGGAACGTGATAGATATATAATAGAACGTTGACACGGGCTGTCCATCAAATATCTAGTTACATGAACTGAGTTTATTATCTAGACAGAGAACGAAGGGAACCTGCAGATTTCCAATTTTATCCAATATCAAAATACTTTGGCAATTTTCAGTTTTAATGGCGACAAGACAATTTCATGATTATCATTAAAGATGGGTTCCCTTATTTTAATTATGAAATGAAAATGCTAATACTTATATGAAAATAAAATAGAGCTGTTCTAATGGCTTGGAAAAATACCAGTTTGTCTCACATGTCCCTAAGTAATTCATAATTATCTAAATTAGAACAGAATTACCAGCAGAATTCCAATGAGTGACCGATCAAGAAAGGTCAAAAAGTCTTTTTTGTTTATCCAAACTGCACATACATGGGATATTTATGAATGGTTAAAACTCTTAATTATATGCAATA